TGTACATATAACTCTATTGTCATTACAAATTTCTCACTGCACATCAATTTTTCAGACACCCTGTATAAACTATGTACACAATCATCTTCTCAGCTCTTTGTTGTTTCAGATGAATTAATCTCCACTGTTTCTAATCATTCTCATCATTTCAAATCTGAGATTCTTTCATCCTGTTTCAGTCTCTTCCAACTTTTTGTACACCTTTCATCATCTGTTCTCTTCAGTCAACTCTATCTCTCAATCATTCTTTTACAACAAAGAATTCATTAAAATGCCAAATTTCAAGTATCATACCAACATATGTTTTAATGAAATTATTCTTTGATAATGATTTTTGAAAGGTCCAAAAGCAGTTTGGAACCAATGTTTTCATCTCTTTTACATCAACAACTTAAATATTTTTTAATATATATCCTGATGACAAAGTATGAAAGCAACAACAATACCTGGTCGATAGGAAAGTTAGGACAAGAAATAAAAAAATTGCATTATCAGTTTTCATTAAGGTAAACTTGACAAAAAGGAACAAAAGAAATTAAAAATTTCAATATTTTGAAATCCATGGGGAAATTTGAGAGAATACATATGATTACTTGAATAAAATAATATCAAACAACAGAGTTTGCACTTAAAAGTTGTGAAATTTTGTACAGAGGATTTTCCAAATTTTCAAACCATATTACAGCAAAATTGTGTTGTATGAGGGATACCTCATACAACATGATTTTGCTCTAATATGGTTTACATGATTACAAACTCAATAGGTGTAAGTTGTAAGTTCCCTTATTCACATTTAAAACTTTTTTTCATTTTTAACTGTTTACACCCTCTGGACCCTAAGAGGATGCCCACTGTGGATTCAGCCAAACTCACAATGGGTCAGTCAGGTGATGATAAACAAGATCTAACATATCTGGGAAAATTGCAATTGCTCACCTGGATTCAATCCCAGATCTTTCAGATTGACGTCTTAACTGCCTCTGATACCTTGGTGTCCCATTAAAATAATTAATAATCATATCATTCAATAATATAGAGTCAAGGTTCATTTACAGTTGATTCCGTTTAATTGGGCCACCGGTTAATAGGGGCAGCTGCTTTATTGGGCCAAATCTGAAAGAATGGAAACCAAACTAATAAATTAATACACAATTTAATCACTTAATTGAGACAGTTGCAGAAAAGAAATTTAGCAAGTTTTGATATATTTTAGGGATCTTCTGAAAATAGTAGACACTACATACACTAATGTTGTGTAGGCCTAATGATTGGCAGAGACAAAGCAATTTTGTCTTTTGCTCAGGCAGTTCAGTTTTTCTGGAGGAGGTCACCATAGCAGGATGTATCACACAAGGATCCCATCTGAGATGGACCAGAATGCAAGCTACTGACCCTGCTCCAGATTGGACCAGATGATCCCTTTAAAAGTGGTGGGACAAAGATCCCCGGACAATTTTTCAAGGTCTCTCGAATGAGTTGGAAGACGGCTAGAGTTTCCTTGGAAGGTATTGTGTGCATAATTATGCCTAGATTCGAACAGCAGCCATCCAATTGTTGAGACCAGCATCCTGAGCTGGCAAATTCTATGGACACTCATGCCAAAGTAGCTCATCTCCAAGTAAAGGAAACTGTGCTCAAAGGAAGACAGTAAAGTGACTTTTGGCCAAACCCTTTCCTTTCTCCCTTTTTAGTTAGAACATGTTCTAACTAAAAAGGGAGAAAGGAAAAATCATTCGATCAGGAATGAATCAAATGGTCAACCCTTATATATGTCACTACTAATACTATATTTGGCAACACTAGAATGATGCGAATCAGTTATCTATCGTTGTGAGTCTGGCAAATTTATAGTACAAATATTTTCTGTATTTTGTTTAATAAAGCTTTAAAATAGGTACCTAAATATTATTTTTACCTACTTATTTATTTATCTATGTGTGAGGACTCAACCGAGGTTCGAATCATGTAAATCGCGATATTCCTATGTTTAAATAATAACGATAGATTAAAAATGAGAGGGGGAGGAAAATCCCTTAATCTAAACAACACGGCACAAAATGTAGACGAGTCTCGGATGACTGAAACACGTGTTAAACGAACTGTCGATGTCAGAGTGAAAAGTTATAAGTCAGAGACAAGTGGTCATATGCAGGTAGAACTTTGACCCCAGCGCTCATAAACAGTCAATCTAGGGAAACAATTTCTGAAAAGAGGGAAAGATTTAAGAGAGATAAATCATTGCATATGATCGTTCGAGTACCCAGATGACAGAAACCACGAGTAACGAAGCTAAATTATGAGCGCGAGTCTTGCAATTTTGTCAACAATCCCCCAGAACAATCGACAGAAAGGCGTCGAGCGGACACCTGGAATCGGACCTTTCCCGTGACCCGAGTCGGTCTCGATTTTCCCCAAAAACAAAAGAGAGACCAATCAGGAAGCGAGGAAGGGGACGAGGGGCCAATCAGAAGTCCGAATAGTGGGAGGAAAAACTATAAAAATCGGAAAATCAAGGTCAAGAAGGCTCTCCTCCGACCCCACGAAAGGTAGTGACTTCTATTGTGGTGTGTTGTCGCAAAAGAACTGTGGACTCCGTGGCTTCTATCTTCCGATCGTCCGCCTAGATCAGCAACAGCATCTCGTCCGCCCCGGGGCTACGACCGACGCCAAAGTTCTCACTTCTCCGCATCTTCGAGGGAAGAATCTAGTGAAGGACTATCGATTGCCGATGTAAGCATATATGTTAACAAATAAACGGCTTTCTTGTGTAAAACACTTGTCGTCATTTGCATCCTCCGTCACCGCCCACATACAACCTTCCCTTAGGTCCATTCTGACGCGGGATTAATAGATCCCTTCTAGGAGACGGCAACCTTACACAGGTGCCGTGAAGTGGGTTTCAAGCCCCCATCTCCCCCGGATCGGCCGTCTTACATTGGTGTCAGAACTGGGATATTTTAGGCCCAATCTACACCAGTTCTAATTTTACATATGTATTATATATTTTATTTTAGAATTTATTATTAGTTCGTTTAATTGGGGCAGCTGCTTAATTGGGTCAAAATGGATCAGTCCCAATGTCTTCCAATTAAGTGGAATTGACTGTATTTGAAATCACAGTTGAATCATTTTTAACTTATCTATGTTTGTTTTTGTATAACATTTTATATACCGTATATTTTATTTAATAGTATTGATACGATCCTAAAATTTGTGCACTTGTTACAATATTCTCAAAAGCAATGTTGCAATACTAAATTATTTTCAAATTAAGAATTATAAATACAATCATCATTTGTATTTTTATTATGATTATTATCATTATCACTGTTACTTAGACTTGATACAATATTTTTATGATAATTCATCAACTTGCATTAATATTTCATATAAATATCACAAACATGACATAATTTTTATTCAAATGATGATATATATAAATGGTGAGAGATATTAGAAATTTTAGTTTAAAACACGATGCAAACTATCAAATCTACATTTTAAAAAGCAAATGACAGCTTAATTTTTATCATCTGGAGTAAGCAAAATTAAGTATTAAAAATTAAATTAAGAGAAATTGTAAACTTAAATTCCTTTACTTATCCTGTTGAAAAGCCAAAGTGGGAAAAAGCAGCAATAAACATGCTTTAGCAGAGATACAAACTGTGTTACAAGTTATCAAATCTATTTTTAATCAAAAACATGATTAGGATATTCACAATAATCCTTATTAATAATTTCCAGCCACTTGCTAATTAGAAGATAGAAATTTATTAATTTTAAATGTGTCCTAATAATTTCAGCAGACCATACAATCAAAAAACTAATAATTTTGAAGACAGTTATCTGTGCAGGAGTTTCAATTCAATACAATAATTTTGTTAATTAAATTTCTAATGAATTAAATTTATTTTTAAATACAACTGTATTTAAAAAATAAATGAAACAACTGTTTTAAATATGTGGTACAAACTTTTAATAAATTAATGTTTTCTAAACTAGTTTACAGCATTGATAAAATTGCTAAAACAATAATTGTTTACAATTATCATCCTGGCAATTTTATCAAATGTATATTATATTTTTTATTTGTGTCATCGCCAGAGGGAATTTCTATATATAATGCTTTGCACATTGAGGCAGACAAGTAGCATCTAAATAAAGGTCAACTCCACCATAAGGCTGTTATTAACTGAGCTGTGAAAAGGACATAAGAAGACTTTATTGTATAGTGTTTTATATATTTTTGTGAAGTTAGTTTATAGCTCTTCATCGGGTGTAAACTTAAACATTAAGCCTGTTTAAATCTATACAATTCCATCAAAACCATCAAACTAATACAGAAATTCTAAAATGTCGAGAAGTTTGAATATTTTAATCAAGAATAAACATTTTTTGAGACAGTGTGCCACATCACAACAACGAAAAATTTGAATAAAAGAATAGTTTTTCAAAAATATTCTAACAATGCTATTTAACATTCATAATGAGGTGAAATATCTCAAAAAATAAATAATCTTAATTAAAATATTCAGGCTCCTCAATATTTTAGAATTTTCAAATTGTTTAATTAAACTTAAATTTAAAAATCTTCTTACGTGAATATTGGAAAGCATATAAATTAACACCCATAAACCTTAAAAGTCCAGTAGTAAATATTTAATAGCAAACAAATGCTTTTGACCGTACTTTCGGTCTTCTTCAGGTTCACCTGAAAAAGACCGAAAGTACTTTTAAGGTTTATGAGTGTTAATTGTTTGATTAAACATTAAGAAACAAAGAATACAGGAATTCTTAATATCTAAGTTTAAATCTGATGAAGTTACTGTATAAGCTAGCTTGAAAATGTTAATTTAGTAAAAGTTTAGTGCTGGATATGTAAAAAGCTTGTTTTACTTGTTCTTTAAATTTCTAATAATGTCATAATTAACATGTAAATTTTATCAGAGTAAGTCAAAAACTATAAAAAATCCTATAATTAAAAATTTAATTTTACATACCATATTATCAATTGCTGCAGCAGCATCCTAAAAGTAGAAAATAAAAACATATTCATTAGAAATTTTAATCAATAAAATATATTTTCTTAGTACAATATATTGATGATAAAAAAAACAAGTGTATACAATTAAAATTTTTTCCTCATAATTCAACTGTTTAATAAATTAATTCAAGAAATATATATGTAAACAATTTTAAAAATTTATAAATTCTTTAGAATCTTGATATCATCCTAAATAAANTATCTGGCAGTTTGTTTGGTAATTCAAATACATCAGGTTGTTTATGTTGTTATACTTAGTTTAATGACAGTTTAACATTTTGTAATTCATTACAAAATGTTAAAAATATTGAATTTGTTATGTTTTAGATAAATTTGCATCTATGCATGTTTTCAAATTTTGGTTTAATATCTAAAAATTTTAAGGAAATGATCGATCAATACATTTAATGAAATTAACATGATTTACTAAAAGCTTAATTTCACAAATAATAAAACCTTGCTAAGTTGAACTGTGTTAATTCAAAACTGTCTACTGGTTCCAAGCACAGTACGTAAGACTTTCAATATAATGCAGTCTTGTTAAGTTGAAATTGCCAGTACTCTTCTGTGTATCCTCATTCTTTGATAGGTCTGTGATATTCATTTTCTCTTCTTTCCATTAAATACAGATGTTTAAGATAAATTCATGGCATGGTGTGTTTGGTATGGAGCCAAACATAACACCATGCCATTACAACCTTGCACTGACATTCTTTTACTAATGCAGTATGTTCCCAGCATTCTGATTGAAACACTTTGATGCTTTGATGACACAGTCAAAAGTGCCATGAACTGTGTACAATTTTGTAATTATTCTGTGAACAGATTCTTGAAAAACAACTTGATGACAGGAAATTTATGAACATAGAAAAATGTGAAAGGTATTAAGTGTTTTGATATTTAAATTCATTAACTTAAAGTCAGATTTTTTTATCACTTAAATATCAATTTAACAAGGTTTTAAACATAAAGACGAAGATAACAATTAAAAAACATTTGTTTTTCTATTATTCTCTAAAATATCTCATTTAAATTTAATATATTGTTACTGTGTGCATATATTATTGTTATATCATAAAGTGAAAAATTTGATTTACTAGCCTACAGAACAAATGTAAATTCATATTTTTGTCTGATCAAGAAGCCAAATTCAAGTTATTTCTGTTTACTCCTAATCATTAATATTTGAATGTGTACTTCCAAATACTAACAATTCCATATAGTATATTCTGCTTATTGTAATTATTGTTATCAGAATTTATTAATAAGAACTAAATACGCCTGATCTTAGTCCAGTATAGCATTAAGACACCAGTATAAACCAATTATGATACAATCCACTAACAACAAATAATAATAATTATAATTGATAAATCTTCAAGTTACACATTTTAAATTGTCTTAACTGCCTTTTTAATGTCAGAGTCAATAAAACCAGAATTTCCACTAAATTTAGTCTAATTGACTTATTCCGCTTAATATTATCAATTATTATTATAAGTATAGGCGAGTTAAATGATTACAATAAGTGGATTCTACTACAGCATTTAAATTACAGAAATAATTAAACTTTTTCTTCACAAAATTGTTAATAAAATTTTTATCTAATTATTGTTTTATAATTTACCACTATAAAATGAGTGAGTATGTAATGTAAGAAAACAACATGTCAATTTTAGCATATCATTACATTGCCATGTTGTTCCATTACTAGTAATTTTATTGCTATTAAGTTGTCTTGTTATTTATAGACAGAAAGTAATATAATACTTACTTCAGCCATTTCAAATTCAATAAATGCAAAACCACGATGTTTTTCTGAATTTAAGTTAAGGAATAAAATATTTCATACTAAGCTGGAGATTTTTTATTTTCTCTCTCCATATTTGTAATGATTATATTTTAATCTTAGGAACTGCTTTTGCATACTTATCAAACTATATTTCAAAATAACATTATTTTTATTATTAAATAAAAATAAAATATTTATTACTTAAAAAGGGATTAGTATACTTTAATTTTTTCTTTCTTAACTTTTTCCACCCTGTAGATACAAGCAGGGCTTTCTATGACCATAGGTTTAGCCAGGTTAATAATGGGACAGCTGAATGGCAAGAAGTACTCATTAAATTTGTTTTGTTTAACTGGTGTCAATATTAGTTATTGTGAGGACCAGTCACCTGTCAACTCACTCGCAACCCCTCTGCCATTCGATAACCCAAACAAATGCCATCCAGTGATGCTGTGAGCAGACTTCACGAGCCTGACGCTGGAAAAGGAGTTTAGAGCAATCACCTGTAATCCCCGGATTCTCACAATTTTGAATTAATAAAAATTATTGACAATTTTAGTGATTTTTGATTGGTTACATGACAATGTTTCGTCACATTATTACAATCTTTTGCATTGGATAGTAATTCATAAATTAATCACCATATGTTACATTTCATAAAAATATAAAACATCAAATATGCTTGTAATGCTTATATTTATAAAAACTTTTACATATTGTCACATGACTATTTGTATTATCATGTGCTTACTTTGTTGAATTGCCAAACAAATTATTGATTGGGCTATAATAAGACTAATAAATTAGAAACAGGTCAATTTGACTAGAGGTAGGTGATTACATCATCATCTCTTGGTAAATTTAATAATTAGAATTAAATTCATTTGTAACTTGAATAATCTGTTAGAAAAGAATCAAACAGAACAAAGAGTGAGACTCTAACCCACAACTCTGCTTACCTTGCAGATGCATTGCCAATTATGCTACCTGGACCTCTGTCCAATCTTTGCTTCCAGATTAATTAATTTATTAATTTTGATTTGAATTGTTTAATTAATTTATTAATTTTAGATATAACCATATAGGTTATTTATCATGAGATGACAACCTAAATGCCATCCTCTGTCCAAATTGATTTACTAGCCTACAGAACAAATGTAAATTCATATTTTTGTCTGATCAAGAAGCCAAATTCAAGTTATTTCTGTTTACTCCTAATCATTAATATTTGAATGTGTACTTCCAAATACTAACAATTCCATATAGTATATTCTGCCTATTGTAATTATTGTTATCAGAATTTATTAATAAGAACTAAATACGCCTGATCTTAGTCCAGTATAGCATTAAGACACCAGTATAAACCAATTATGATACAATCCACTAACAACAAATAATAATAATTATAATTGATAAATCTTCAAGTTACACATTTTAAATTGTCTTAACTGCCTTTTTAATGTCAGAGTCAATAAAACCAGAATTTCCACTAAATTTAGTCTAATTGACTTATTCCGCTTAATATTATCAATTATTATTATAAGTATAGGCGAGTTAAATGATTACAATAAGTGGATTCTACTACAGCATTTAAATTACAGAAATAGTTAAACTTTTTCTTCACAAAATTGTTAATANATTATTATATACAAAAACATGTATTTGAATTGCTGAATGAACTGCCAGATTATCAATTGGGATATTTATTTCTAATTTATTAGCTTTATCTGGCAGTTTGTTTGGTAATTCAAATACATCAGGTTGTTTATGTTGTTATACTTAGTTTAATGACAGTTTAACATTTTGTAATTCATTACAAAATGTTAAAAATATTGAATTTGTTATGTTTTAGTTTATAAATTATAATTATTTTATGTTCATTAAAGTTTCAATAACAATTGAATAAAACACTGGAGATCACAAGTATCTACTAGTTCAAATGGATTATACTGTTGTGGAAACATAATTTAATCTTTTGTTAACTATTTGTTTTAAATTACAAGCTTAGTAAATTTTTACTTTTTTGCTTTAAACAAAAAAGTAAAAATTTATCATCTCCTGTAGAGCAGCGGTCCCCAACCTTTTTATCGCCGCGGACCGGTCAACGTTTGATATTTTACCGCGGCCCACTGAGGGGGGACGTTGATTGTTTATATTTTAGATTGATTTAATTTAATAATTTTAATTTAATTGTATTTAAACATGCCTTCAAAATAAAATATAGTTACACAAAAAAATAAACGTTAAATCAATGAGAACCCTGAGCTTGTTTCTTTGCAACAAGACGGTTCCATCTGGGGGTAATAGGAGACAATGACACCCGAAGTGTTTCTTATGTCCAGTTTATTCCGTTGTTCCGTCGTCCATTAAAAGTCGCACAAACCCGAGAGAAATATACCATAGTAAATAAAATGGAAATACCAGTAATTTAATGTTTCTTGGGCGGCCCGGTACCATTTGATCCATGGACCGGTACCGGTCCGCGGCCCGGGGGTTGGGGACCACTGCTGTAGAGGACCAAAAACATATTGTCTTCATTTTTCTATGTTAGTGTTTTCCAAAGTTTTGACATCTGTGTAACTGTTGTTATATTACGATAAATATAAGGTATAAGTCCTTGTAAAAAAATTCCTACAAACTACCCAAATACAGCATTTATCTCAACTTGAGTTAGCAAATTCATATGAAATACACAATTTGTGGGAAATATATACATAGACTCACAAAATAACCTTTGTAAGCACCAAAAAGTTTTTATTACTACTGTTTTTGGTCATTTTCAATGACATCCTTCAGATAATAGAATAAATAAAATGATTTTTAAAAATATTACATTAAACATTTAAAATAATTCACCACAGTTATTTTTCTGAATAATAATTCTGTGTATCATGGATTCATAGCCAAAAATTGCCACACACCAACTGAAAACTACACCACTTCATGTACTCTGAGGTATTCTTACACCACTTTGGGAAACATTATTATATATTACATTGCCAGCCTGAAAGAACTGTAAAGAATTTTAGAAAAACCATTATCAGAGCTAATTAGGATAATTACTTAAAGTGCATTGAGTTCAGTCAATATTTTTCATGATACTGGTAATTTGACTGCTATGTGTAGTTATTGTTTGCCTTTACACTTTGCGAAAAAATAAAAGACCACATCACTATGTTGCCAAAATAGCAGGAAGATTTACTCAAAGGAACATTATGTAACAATGTTACAGATTTCTTCTTTTCATAATAACAATTACATGTAATGGTGCAAAAAAATGAATATTAATACAACTAGAAGAAATATTATTTTTAAAGTTTATGTTTACTAAATTTTTCTTTAATAAAATATGGTGCTTACAAGTTAGTATTTATTTCATTTACTTTCACTTTGGGCTCACCAGTGGCCAAGCGGTCTTTTTCCCTGAACACTGGGAGTTTGGTAATGGGTTCGTGCCTTGCTCAGACAGGCTGACCATGTAAAGTTTTCTGGGTTTTCTCCACATCTGTATTGCATAAATAGGAGCCAGTTTTACTTAAAAAAAACCTTCCAGAAGGCATCCCCCTAGGCCAGGGCTGTCCAACTGGAGGCCCGCCAAATAATTTTTATGGCCCGCGAGTACATTTTACTATGAATAAATTTATGTTACTAAATTATTATTATTATTAATATTAAAATTATTTTACTATGTGAAAATTTAAACCTAATTTGAATTTAAAGTAGGTACTATTTAGTTTGCGTAACTTCACTTAACCTGGCTGAATACAGCAGCAACCTTCTTGGCCCCCGAAATGTTTGGTGAAGAAAATATGGCCCGCGGGCTATGATAAGTTGGACAGCGCTGCCCTAGGCATATTGCCCAAGTGTTGCATTGCCATAACTAAACAAACAAACAATACTTTCACTTTACTAATCATCATATAGTCTGTCATTCTTGACAAGCAAATTTATCAGTTGAATATAAAAATGATACTCGTTATCTTAAGTTGTTACTTAAAATATTAATATGAGTTTTTGATTGGGAAATCATAAGAGATGTTTCACTCTCCAATTATTTTTGTAAGTCTTACATTATTTACTTAATGATGATAGCTAGTTTTGCAAATCTTACATTGATCATCGGAGTGTGAAATATGAGTTTTGGTTTCTCAACAGAAAAGTCAAATTAAAAAAGAAAACATGATTATGACATTAATTCTGTATTTGTTATATTTATATTGTAAAATAATAAAACATATTCACACAGACTGGCTATCAATGTTAAAACTAATTTTAATGTTCAAGAAAATAAATAAATTCAAAAATAGACATAGAACTTTTTAGGTGAAGGCATGTACTTTTGGTAAATAAAATTTTTCTAATTTGGCATCAAACTCTCTTGAACATTACAATTTGTTTTTGCCATCAATAAACAGACTTTGTGACAATGTTTTATGGTTAAGATGATCTTAAATATCACTTTAGTGTCAATTTATCATATTTATATGATAAAAATTATTGTATTGTATAATATGTTTAAGCTATATATATAATTTAGTATAATTTTTAAAGGATACGTGTTTCATAATCTAAAGGTATTTGGATGTCGACAATATCACCAAAAGGAATAAACGCTGCATGTAGTATCTTCTCATCCACTTCTTCAGCCAAACCTCCTAAAAAATATTAAAACAATATGGGATTAATATTAGCAATTCTAGTAAAATAAATATTTTTCATTCAATTATCTTCAATTTATTCGAGAGAAATATACCATAGTAAATAAAATGGAAATACCAGTAATTTAATGTTTCTTGGGCGGCCCGGTACCATTTGATCCATGGACCGGTACCGGTCCGCGGCCCGGGGGTTGGGGACCACTGCTGTAAAGTANTCTTCTCATCCACTTCTTCAGCCAAACCTCCTAAAAAATATTAAAACAATATGGGATTAATATTAGCAATTCTAGTAAAATAAATATTTTTCATTCAATTATCTTCAATTTATTTACTTATTCTTATTAAATCTATTTATGAAACAATTTAAATGCTAAATTTTAATTAATTCAATTAAAAAAAAACCCAGCAGTGAGTTGTTTAACTTTCCCAGCAACATTTAAAACTGTGTGGGGGGTGCCATCTGTCATATTTTATTATTAAAAATTTTTTATTTTTAATTATTATAAAATGGCAAAAAGTGTAATTTTGAGGTGATATGGGTTTTTAAAAAAATTGTAAGTGCTAATTAAGAATAAAATTTTCATTAAGTTGGTTGGTTAGATGGCTCATGTTTTTTGGCATAAGAGCCATATAGGCTAAGATTATCATGTCAAATGGTAAATCTTAGCCTATATGACTGTTATACATGTTAATGACTTACAGAGAGTCCAGTAGCCTATCAAGATTTGGCATCTGGCCCAAAAATTCCCATCAAACTTTCATTTCCAAAATGCTGCCTATGACTCCTCTCAAATACAGTATGTCTGCAACTGCACAGTATGTCTTTCAGACTTAAAGTACAGTTTCAGTACTGGCATACTGGCTGGTCTTCACCCTTCAAAAGGTATTGCCGAGTATGACCAATTTTCAAACAAGTAAGAATCACCTCAGTCAATGCCCATTTATTGCATGCAATCTGCACAAATTGGCCATCAATTGCATGACTGAATGATTTTATTAACTACACTTGAGAGCCTTTATAACACAGTAACAGCAAAATTTTAATGAATGATAACGTTTTCGACCGCAACCTCAGTCTTCATGTTCAAATCTCACGTTTATAATCACTGAGATTTGAACATGGAATTTAGAACAACACGTTTAAAAATTTTTTTTAAAAACATGGAACAATTTACACGCACATAGACAACCTTTAACTGTATATATTACCATAGTGATAGAAATAACTCCACACCATAGACAATAATTAATAAGATATAACTAATGACATATAAAGAGGTTGCTAAATGCTAGTGTTGCCTGTTCCTTTTGTAACAGTACTTCCATGCATAGGAAACCTTATTGGCATCCTTTGAGTTAACACATTAACTGCCATTCAATGCACTGGCAATCATACTAATTAGGACCGTACAGAGCCATCCAACTGCCCGACATCGCTATAACCAATGTAGTTTCATTCATAGACATAGACATATATTTTATTGAAACACACTAAGCAAAATGTATCTGGGTGGTACATGGTATAACCCAGTTACATCGTGAGTAAATGTTACATAGCAGGGATACAATTTAACAATGACAAGTTGCAAAACGAAGGAAGGTTAAATTGGTTACAGAGAAAAAATTGGTACATAATAACAAGTTATGTGATAGGATATATGATGAAGTATAATACAAAGGCAATTTCAGATGTCTAGATGTGAATACAAGTACAGATACAAGTACAATGTGCAGTAAGATTGTAAATAATTACATATTAGAATTAGAAATGATAATGACATAGAGCAATTGATATACAGTAAAAAATGGTTACAAAAATATACGTAATAATAATAAAATTATAAAGTACAAGTCGACCCCCCTATAAGATCATTGATTTTTCCGTTTTATTTGAATTACATGTTGTACGAGTCATTTAGATTTTACAAATACGTGTGCCGGACTGTGAATGGCTCACATATTTGTAAAATCTAAGTGACTCGTACAACATGTAATTCAGATAAAACGGAAAAATCAATGATCTTATAGGGGGGTCGACTGTATACTGTAATGTACAATACAGTAAATATGGTTACACTGATACAAATAATAATAAAATGTTAGGATATACAATAGCATTTATGATGAGTACAGAGTGAGTGTACAAGTGGGAAATAAAATCCAGATACACATACAGGTAACTATGTGATACACAAAATAGTTAAAATATGTACAAGGAATAATAGAAGTGGTAGAACAGTGAATATACAAATATACAGGGTAAAGTTGCATAACTAATTGCAAGTGCAGATACAGGTATGTGTTGGGATGAATTACCAAAGAGAAGAGGGTCTAGTGGAGTTAATTGTAGGCAGGCACAATCCAATTCAATATTTTATTGCCGTACAAGGAAGTACAACACCGGTACCGCATGTAGCACAACCGGTAACAAATGCGAAAACAAATACATGAAGTACAAAGTGTTATAAGTAGATTGATTAAACAGATAGCATAAATTTGAGATATAACTTATGATAAATACATACATAAACATGAATAATCAATTAGTCAGTTGGAGTGGAATTAGATTCCACAAGTGTTTCGCAAGTTCCAGGGTAATGTTGTCATGGCTGGGTGCTTTTTTATTACTTAGATTGGCAATAGCCCAGCTGATTTCCTGTTGAAGAAAATTGGGGGTGTTTTGTGTATTGATATCCCTGTTGACCTCTTCACGGGCCATTCGGTGACTCTCAGTATCCTCATCATTTGTATTGGCCATACAAAATTGGTCGATCTTTCTGTTAGCAGCCTGAAAAAAGTCCTGTCCAATGGTGGAAGGAGTGCAAGATATGCCTATACTTGATCTTGTTAGTACAGAAGCGGGTGAGGAATGTAGTTTCACTCAAGGTTAAATTATCCTGGCTTTGTAAGATGTTGTCTTAAATCCTAGTGGTGGCCTCTTGCAGACATCTATAAAGTTGGCTCTGATCACTGTATGGCCTAATGAAGTGGTTTGATGACCAGCGGTTGTAGTGTCTTTTTTAATAAAAAGACTATTTTATATCTGATAGTGTATTTTTAATAGTGAATAGTTAAAAAAAGGAAAAAAATATTGAAAACTAGTTTATTCATTCTCTTTTATTACATATAAAGTAAATAATATTACAGAACAAAAATCAAAGTATATAAGTGCAAAATAATATATATTTACAGAAAAAAACATGTGCAGACCAAACAAATTGTAAAATACTTTTAACACATAGATGTAAAAACTTTTAATTAGATGAGCATGTGCAATTACAGTGTGTTGTAATATAAATAGCCTGTGGTCTTATAGTTTCCGGTTCGTCGTTCATCTATTTTTTTTATCTTCACTCTACTGACTGTTATATAATGACCCTTCTATTTACATTATAATAAAATATTAAATATAAAATTTTCTCATTGTGGCCATTAAATATACAAAATATCATATTACAGGTGGCAGTTAATGCGTTAATGAGTGCTTCGTGGACCCAATATATACTAAATCACTTTGGGAATCATGTAGACACCCAGAGCCAGACTTTCATCGGCCCTATCTTTGCCGTTGCGCAGTAGCCCATACACCATGTTGGATTTTCTATAGGCAATCTTTGTGTCCATACGGGCAGCAATTTCTTTATATATGGAGCTTAGATGCTGGTTATATTCCACTACTGTGTGAGATTGGTTAAAGTTGTGATCCTGTGTTCTGTTGTTTAGACAGTCACATCAAGGATGCTAATAAGGTTTCCTATGCATGGAGGTACTGTTACAAAAGGAACAGGCAACACTAAAATTTAGCAACCTCTTTATATGTCATTAGTTATATCTTATTAATTATTGTCTACGTTGTGGAGTTATTTCTATCACTATGGTAACATATATAGTTAAAGGTTGTCTATGTACATGTAAATTGTTTCATGTTTTTAAAAAAATAATTTTTAAACACGTTATAAATTCCATGTTTAAATCTCACTGGTTATAAACCTGAGAAAAACAGAGGTTGCTGTCAAAAATGTTAGTATTCATTAAAATTTTGCTGTTACCATGTTATAAAGGTTCTCGAGTGTAGATTATCATTTCCAGTAACTCAGTAAGATGATGTTTAATTGATAATATTTTATTAACTACAGCATGATTTTATTAACAATTGATTCTCAAAATATACAAGCCTTTGCAGTTAATTTCTTATCTTCACATGGAACGAATCTTCTTCAGGATTCCAAATGATTTTCTGGCACTCTTAAAAAATGCCTTTTATCATCTTTTTCACTAAGATATTCGGAAGATTGCAACCGAAAACAAAACATGTTGGCATGTTTACTAATGACTAAATGCCTGAACGATTAAATGCTAATAACTAAATGCATTAATTAATAAAAGATAATGACTAAATGACTAAAAATCAAAAGATTAAACAAGTGAAAAATAATATGCCTTCAACTGTTTTCATATTGTAGCAGATCCCAAACGTTTGAAGTACCCCTAACAGCCAATGCAGTCATTTCCACTACTTTTCTGCTTGCAGTCAGTGAGCAGATTCATCGACTCTGGTTCTACAGCAGAAAACTCTTTTCTACTTAGAATTTTAGGGAATGCATATGCACTCTCTGCATTCCCTGGATCCACCTCTGGTTCCCCTGTTTTGCTGTTAGTGTTTTGAGAGGATGGCTGACCTTCATGAACATTCATACACCATTAACTTTTATGTCACTTATAAGTTATCAGTACAAGATGTTTCATATCATTCAAAAAAGTGATCATTATAATTTGAATCTCCATATCCACTGATATCCAAGCAATCTGTGAGGCCGAACTATGACAATTACGGGTTAATAAACAAAGATTATATTTAAAGAACACTCTTTCTTAATGGTTCCTGGCAAAATATTTGGATCACTGTATTTTGGGCTGAGACATGATATTATAATCTTTTATATATAATTTAATTTATGGTTGTTTGAATTTTTCATTGGCATTCCTGATTTAATTAATTTCCTATAGCATTAAGTGAATCATTTCTGTTTTGAAGGCTGTCATCCCTATAAATACATTATATACTAACCAAATATACAATGCTACTAACAAATAACTTCAAATTAAAAAGAATTTTAACCTTAATGTTAACCAAAAATGTTATTTTTCAAAATATTTATCAAAAACTAATAACAGAACAATGTTACAAATTAAAAATGGAACAACAAAAAAGATAAAACTTCAACAAAACATACCAACGTAAACAACACGTTTTGTGTTCACCGCCATCTTTACAGCATGGAGCGCCCCCTCTTCAAATAGCTTATAACATCATAACTTTATACATAGCTTATAACATCATAACTTTATCAAACCTAATTTTATACATTAAAAATATTTGTAAGAATTATTTATAAAAAAGTATATTTTGAATTATATAAATATTTAACTTATTCATTTTTTCTTTTTTTTTCAATTTTACTTTTTCCATTATGATAGTATCAGAAGGGAGTTTTTAATCATAATCATCGTAAGTTCGGCCAGTTTCACAATAGGAATGCCGGATGGCCGGGCCTAATATATCCGAAGCAGACTGCCCGTGAATAATTTCTTGATCAAGAATCGACTAAATATTCTCTTTTATCGTTATCATTGATCCCGAAACGAATTCGGAGACTTACAAAATAATTCAATTGATTAATTTTTGCGAGATATCAGCGCATTATGCCAACCAAAATGCTTGCCCATTATGGACGAGCATTTACGAGCATTTAAGAACACTGTCCCCATCCATATTGCCCATGATAGATTACAAGAATCTGAACCGACTTCAAACTCAAAACTATCTGGCCGACTAATTCTAATCGCCATTTTCATTATTAACTTCATTCCATGCTGACTGACATTGTTTTTTCTTCTAATACTTTCTTCCCTGTGAACACCAATAGGGTCTTTTTTTTTTATCAAATTCAACGTGGGTTTGGCCAGGCTCGGCAAATTCGTTAAATATTTCGTAAATTAATTCGCAAGAATACATTTGAAATAATAAGCATTTAAAAAATATTATTGAAGCGCAATTGTTGTAAGTGAAAAAGAAGAAGAAAAAAATAAAGGTTATTATGGAAAATGCTGAAGTACAATTTTTTAAATTAGTAGAAAATGGCAATTTAGAAGAACTAAAGACTTTTCTTTCAGTTGGTTATATTTATTTATATTTAATATTACAGTCGACCACCTATAACACTATTGATTTTTCCGTTTTATATGAATTCCATGTTGTACGAGTCACTTAGATTTTACAAATTCGTGTGCCGGGCTGTGAACGGCTCACGTATTTGTAAAATCTAAGTGACTCGTACAACATGGAATTCATATAAAACGGAAAAATCAAAGGTGTTATAGAGGGTCGACTGTATTTTAAAAATATAATGTACAGTACTTATTAATTTTTATGACATATTAATTAAGAATATATTATTATTATTTTTTTAGAAGAATCCTGAACTGAATATAAATTGTTTAAATTTTCAAGGTTTTTCTGGTCTTCACCTTGCAATAAACAGCGAATTAGTGCATATTGTTGAATTTTTGATTTCTAGACCAGAAATTAACTTGTCTGATTGCGTTTTGCATGCAATTTCTGTGGGAAATATTGAGATAACGACTATGATTTTAGATGCTCTCAGGTAAGAGCATTTTTTTTTCCAATTCTTAGTTATAAACCATTAGATTTGTCATTAACCTTACAATAATTTCAGCAAAAAAGAGCCGGATTTAGAATTTATGGCATATCCGGATAGTATAGAATTTAGTTTAGGATTGACTCCACTTCTTCTTGCCGCACAAAAAGGAAATATAGAAATAATTCGTTTATTAATGAAGCGAAATCATAAAACTAGTATTCCACACATTCCAACATGTGAGTAATTAATATCAGATTGATAATTTAATATCTGACTCTATACTTTATATTAAGTTAATAAAATATGCGGTAAATGATGACTATTGGAAAGTAGAGGAAGTAGCGAGAGGCAAATGAAACTGTGCCCACAGTCGGTGGATCCGATTGAGGACCTCGCGGATATTCATTTTGGGCAAGGAGCCGGATATTTCGGACTCCATCCTTTAGCTTCCGGCACAACGGGTTATTTAGGCCTCAATACTGGGTGATCCACCTCACAAAATACAAAAAGGAGTGCTGGACTCTCTAAGCTCCTTCCTCGTTACGCTACTAGTCTGGCCAAACCCATGATAAGCATAGAGAAAAGATCCTCGATGTTCGTAGAACTGACACAGTTTATTAAAAAATTTAAACTGTTTCAGGTTTGTGTAGAGAATGTAAAGAAGTAATTCGAGAAACTGGAATACTGGATTTAACAACGAAGAGACTAGATATTTTTAAAGGAATCTGTAATCCTTATTATATTTGCCTATCTTCTAGCGATCCAATATTGACAGCCTTCGATCTGGATCTACAACTAAAATTTTGTGCTCAAATGGAGAAAGAATATTATGTAAGTTTTGGAAATAAGCAAATGAAAGTTACTGTTACATGTTAAATGTACACGTACAAACAATATCTTTATAATTTTAATACTTTGAAGATGGAATATAATACACTTTCCGAAAACGTACGAATGTTCGCTGTCGATTTATTATCTCAATGTTCAGATATTCAAGAAGTTAAAAAAATATTAAAATTAAAAAGAGGTTCTTCTTGGAAAAGATCAAAATATCCAAGACTACAAATAGCTTTGGATTACAAACAGAAAGAAGTACGAAAATTTTATTCTTTCTTGCTTTTAATTTATATTGTTAGCACGGATGGCCGAAGAGAGTGTCATATACAACCAACCCTGTATTTAAATATTCAAACGAACAGCCGAATCGACCTATTTTAAAGCTTAAAAAATTACCCGATTCGGCTATTCGTTTGAATATTTAGGTTGAAATGCCAGTTTACTTCTCTGGGAAAATCGGAAAAAGAATCCGTTCGGGTGGAAAAACTCCAAGAATTTTTTGGAGATTATCCTTCTGGTTATGTTGGGGTCCGTCTTGTGACCCCATTGAGGGCCTGCCCGAATTCATGTTAGGCTTGATAAAAGACTCTCTTAGTGCCTACAGGGTAGAAAAAGTAAAAATTATTTTTGTTGTTCTTGTTTTTACTAACGTTACTGACCTTATATTTTCTAGTTTGTTGCTCATCCAAGTGTCCAAAAAATAGTAACTGCGGAATGGAATGGTGCTTGGACAACATTTTCGAAGTACCGCACTTGGAAGAAAGGCTTAATCATTCTATTTCGTATGTTTATTCTTCCTATAGTTTTCTTCACAGTTTTATTATTGCCCAATTCTTATTGGGGGAAAAGATGGAAATGCCCTCTAAGTAGATTTCTCAACGAATTGGCATCCTATCTTATATTTTTGATTTTTCTATTCCTGCTTATCAAAATCGATATAAAACAATCGTCTCGAGGACCTCCCTCTACTGGTATATTTCATTGACTTATTTTAAAAATAACACTCAAAAATACCTCATAATAATAGTTGTTTATCATTGATAGGTTTAGAAGGAGTGGTTGCTCTATGGATCATAGGTTATTTATTTTCCTCATTAAGATCTTTGTGCATTCAAGGTTGGAACAGATTCCGGCAATACTGGTGGAACATGTGAGTGTTATTTTGTATTTAATTTAATTTATTTAACTTTATTTCTTAAATTAACTAACTGTATTATTTAATATCATAGTTACTCTTTGATCATGGAATTAATTTTTATATCGACGTTTGTATTTTGGATTCTGTCGTGGGTAGATGTTTTAGAATATGGATTTGCTGATCTCCCTAGAAATTTTTGGCCTGGTAACGATTATACTTTAATTCATGAAGGACTTCTGTGCATCGCTGGTATTATGGCAGCTGGCCGATTATTTTATTTTTTTCACCAGAGTTCTCGATTGGGACCACTGCAGGTGAGTATGGTTAGAATTAGTGATATAAAAAAATTATATAATATTAATTTATTAATTACTTCTACAGGTTTCTCTGCTAGTAATGTTAAAGAATGTGACTTTATTTTTGATAGTATGCTTCATTTTACTATGTTTATTAGCAATTTGCATGACAAATTTATACGCGCCTTACCGAGAAATGAAGCAAACTGATGCACAAGGAAAAGTTACAGTCCAGTCCATAGCTTTTACATCGTAAGTTCACTTGTGTTCGAATATATTGAGACTTCTTCTTTTTTTCTGTCTTATATTAACTCCCCTATTTACCAACACAGAGTTAGAGTTAAAAGTTAACCAATGATTTTGTATAAGTTCCTTTTTTTCGTCCTTCTTAATCACTATTTTCTTTATTCAGCCAGCCATGTAAATCTAGATCTTCCTCTTTATCTTCCGCAGCATCTATGTTAAATTTTTTTTTAATATTCTCGTCCTTCTTGTCCCTTCACATATCTTTATACTTTTTATTAATTAAAGTAATACCTTAGATATATTAATAATTTTTTAATGTTCTTATAGGATCGATAATTCCATAAAATCATTATTCTGGACAATATTTGGATTGGTCGATCTGGATTCAACAGATATAATTGTTTCAAATACAGATTTACAAATAACAGATGTAATTCATCACGATATAACTGAAGCCACTGGACAAATTTTATTTGCAGTTTATCATATTTTTATGAATATTATCTTTATTAATGTTTTGGTCGCAATTCTTATAAGCGATTTCCAAGCAGTGATGGTAAGTAAACGTTCTGTTGAATAAAAGCTACTCTTTGCTTTTATTACGAAATATTACAGACGTGAACGTCGAATAAACGTGAACGTCGAACGTCGAGCACCACTCGTCTTGTAAGAGGCGCTCGACGTTCGACGTTCGCGTTTTACAGATGAAAACTTTGGCCGCAATCTCTCTATTCTTTCAGGATGATGCCGATAAAGAGTGGAAATTTAGTAGAACTATGCAATGTGTACTGTACTTTCGAGATGCTGAATTACTTCCATCACCATTCAATCTCTTTCCAAATGCCCGTTATATAACTAAATTCATTAGATCTATTAGAAATGCTATGAAAATTAAAGATCCCAAGCTTAAAAAACCAGTACATCCATTATTGGCTTGGATTGTAAGTAAAGTTTAAATATCATTATTTGAATTTTTAAATGAATTTCATACTTAATTTTATATTTAATTCAATAGCCATTCTGTTATGTGGAAGATGAGGAAAAGTATGATGATCCTGTTGAATACCAGGTTTGTAAGCATTATTAACTTATAATCAAATTATTAAATTTTTATTCTGATTTTTATATAGAAAATTTTGAAATCTCTACGAAGATTCTTAATCTTATTTTAATTAATTTTCAGGAATTAATGACTAAAATGATTCAACGATACTTAAGAAGTCAATCTCTCGATGTTAACATTAGCAGAACAAAAATTTCGTCAAAATTACTTTGAACAGTTTGCATATAATTCATGGAACATTAAAGCAGGATTAAAGCTGCAAAGGGCATTATCCATTCTTACCTTATCCCGGTCTTACCCCCTTTCATTATTCCTCGGGAAGGGAATAATAAAGTCTTAGCAGCCATAATCAAATTACGTGACTTTCAAACTGTGAAACTCAAAATTGTGTTTATACAAGGTATATTGTTGTATACAAAATGTTGTGATGGTGGTATGAAATGTTCCCGTTTACGCGGTTTAAAAGAATACAGCATACATTTCCTTTTTAACAATAACAACACAATTACACTTTAATGTCTCTAATAAGTGAGTGACTTTTCTGGCACTCCACAATCGAGCAACACTCCGGCACCCGACAATTATTGGTAATTACAATACTGGTTCTTGACCAGCCACACAGCTACCCACTCTGGTTAGCTCCACGGTCAGTACTGCTGTCATTACTTCTCTCAGCACTGCCTCCACACCCACACACATCACACTGACTCGACACACTCAAAGGGAAGCGCACAAATTTTCCCTCTCTCACTATTTCTTTCTCTCTAGGCGGGACAATCTCCCCCACATTCTTGGGGATACTGTTACCTCACCCACCTGACACATGTGCCAAAGCTGTGGACTGTCCATCATCACTTGCTGACATCCACACACCTGACACATGTTACAACTGAACTTAACATATATCATTATTAAACATAACTATCGTCATTTGGTGTACTTCAGTTTAACACCATTCTCGGTTTAGTGCCGATCTTAACAAGCGATTACGCTAAATCGGGGTTTTCTATAAATAAAAATATGTAGCCTAATTATTTTAATTAGGGACAATAATTACGTATTCAGCTGTAAGGGAGGGAGAGAATAGCGAAAAGTACTGTACGTCATTAAACATGATGGGACGGGAAGGAGAAAGTCGAGGCTTTGTCTTTATTCGTGTAAACATACGAATATTTTGATTTTTTTTGTTACATTTCGTATTTTAAAATATTTTTAGTGGTCCTCAGGAACTCTGCCCGTTGGATTCGATTGATGGAACAAGGCAACGCGGCCCATGGGCGATCTGCTAAGGGGAGGTTTTCTATGAAAAACTGACTCCTATTTAGTATAGGAAATTGGTCCCTATTTACGTGTTAGAGAAGCGAAGAAAACCCGGAATTTTCTACGTGATCAGCTCGTTGCCGAGGTGCGAACCCGTGACTAACTAGCAGTGTTCGGTGATTTTTATCCATTCTGCCGTTGGTGAGTCCTTAGCCTATTGTTCCTGATGTTTATAAACTACACGCACGCAAAGCTTAATGCTTACTTCGCGAGTGTGTTTAGTATTATGTCAACAATACCCTATCTTTTAATTAATTTCTGTTGATTAATTGATGTTTGAAGATTTTAAAAATGAATAAGAATAATTAATAACACTTAAAATTTCCCAAATTTTATGTAATTTTCGAAAAACAGACTATTAATGCATATTATATAAATATTTATGAGATACTTTCGATATAAAAGGGGATTCATTTTTATAGATGATAAACAATGAACTCTTGATATAGTGAATGAATTAGTTCATACATTCAGAATTCATTATAGCAAGAATCTACTGTATATCGATTTTTATTATTTTATTTTATTTACTTTTTAATGTTTACATATGAATGCAGTGGTACGAACCGCTCTGTACACCATTATCATTTAATTAATAACCAAGTCACAATTGATTTTGACATGAAAATATCAAATTACTTACAAATAAGAATTAATGTATATTGTCGTGCTCGATTAATAAACAAATTAGTTTCGTTCAATCGTGAGTGTTAAGTGTAAACTACACTTAACACTTACGATAGAGAGTGTAGAAAGGTTAAGGAAGAGTGGCTTAACAAAAAATGTGAAGAATTTGAAAGTTTGAATAAAGAAAGGGCCCTATACAATCTCTCGACGGCTCTATAGAGTTATTATGATCTAAAAATTGCAGTAATTGTAACGTTGTATAAACAAAGAGTAATAGAAATGACTGTAAATATGTTCAAGGAATAAGTTTGCAGAGCATACAAGATAAAATGTATGGAAAAATTCTGATTGAGAGTGTGAAGGCAATTATATTGTAAATGGGTTATAAGTACAAAACAGTAGGATTTACAGAAGTAAGACAGAGACAAGTCATTTCTGCGTGCTCGCCGTGATTCAAAATGATGTCAATCATAAAATTATTATTTAACAAAGATGCTATTTCGAGATTTAGAATCGGTAATTTTAATATTTTTCTTATCTTATTATATATTTTATTAGGCAAGTTTTACAATAAAACTATACACTACTATTGTTTTCGTAATTATTGTTCAAAATATACACAGATTAAGCTATTCATTCACATTTTTCAATATCCAACCATGAAATTTTATTTCTGTAATTACAGGATGTATAAAAAAATTTTTATCATGTAAACCTTGAATAAATAAACACAAGTTTCTATTTTTATTAAGGCTACTTTCCTTTTCTCATTTATGATTTATTATGCTATTGTTATGTATTATATAATCAGTATCCGGAACGTTAGATGAGTCGTCGTAAAGCGAATCGTCATATTTCCTACACCTGATAATATAGATTTTGGTTATGTTCCTGAAAATAGAGTAAAACTCTGTAATATCACATCGAAATGCCAGCAAAATATAAAGCACTTAAATGAGGCGTTTTACATAATAGAAAATTTTATATCAGTCGTAAATGCGGCAATCTGCTATATAATTTGAAGCATTATGTATTAATTTAATAAACAAGCCGTGCCAAAAGTCAATTAACCGATATAGAGACTAATTTGGAACAGTTATGTATTGCTAGATTCAGTATAGGATATCGATTAACTGAGTTTTTTAATCACCCTGTATTATATCCTAATATTTACATAACTTATTGGGCTGCAATTTGAAAAAAAATTGTACTGTCGTCGGTCTGTCTGTCTTCTGTCTTTTCTTAATCTCGAGAATGGAATTAGATGAAGGACGAGACCGGATGTAGAAATCTTAAAGTCAGGAGGCCCAATTGACTATATATCAACATCCGATTTGCACCGGAAATTACGTTATTTCAGTTCAAAAGTTTTCCCCTGTAAGAAGTTAGATAGATGACAGCATGACTCTGTTACTAACAGGAACAGTATGATGTACAGGGGCAAAACACTACTAATTTGAAGTGGAGAGCATATATATATTTTAAATCTACGATTACAATTATTTTTTAATGGATTAAAATAATTGTAAATTATAGCAATAATATTCTATTTTGTTTGATAAATCTTCTAAGTGTAATGAAATAAATTGTTGCTTCGCTCCGTCCCATGGAGATACTTGCTTTGTTAAGTGCTTAGAGCTGGTCTTCATTATACATGCAAAAATTTTGATTTAAAATAATATAAGTTAATATTGTGTAATGGTAAATTTACCTGTCTTCTAAAAGATTTAAAATAAATCGCCACTTTACGTGTGAGACTGACGAAGGGGGACGTAATGGTCAAGATAGACGAGGGCTGGGGAAGGTCATATATGATTGCGATCGGCATTGAGACAGACCCTACGGTTACAACAAAACGTTTATTTGGCACGAAATGACTTTAAAAGATTTTTGCTATCTTAAATTCAAAGTCTGTGGGTCTTCCTCTCTTTTCTAGAGAGAGTTTCAAATTAAGGGGGTGCAAGTGAGAGTTCTTTCAATGTCTCGACAGTTCCGGGACAATGCAGTCGACTTCCGTCGATGGGAAAATGTAGATCAGAGAAAAGAATACGGAGATGAAGAGAGACACGAGACACTCACATAACAACTGGTCCGACTCATGGAATTTTCGGGAGAAGCTGTCGTGTCCTTGAAATTCGGGTGTTTTTTTTATTATTATTTTCTGTCCCGATTGGTCGCTTTTTAAATGGTTGATCACTTGTTGCTAAGTGTAACGAGATCGCAACTTAGATCGCGGGAGAGGTCAAAAGCGATGTTTAATTCGATCCCAACCGCAGATGGTCGATCTTAGGATTTACATTCTTCTATTGTTTATACGTTCGCGTCTCATTTTTCATACATAAAAAATTATTTCTACCTTCTTTATTATTATTTTTTCTTTTAAAAATATTTTGACGTAAATTTTGGCCAAAGTTCAGACCTATCCAGAGCTTCACATACGTCCTAATTGGAAGCTAGAAAAATGTCTTATTGTTTCCATTATTGTAATGCCTAAAATGAAATTTCCTGCTTGGAAATAATAGTTTTAACTAAGAAATAATGTAGATTATTAACAAAAATATTTCAAATAACCGTAAAAGCAGATGTAAAACAAGGTTGTAAAGGAATCCACTTCATTATGACACTTAAGATTGGATATGTTCTATAACATTCTCTTCATTATCATTGTTTAAATAAATTATTTGAATGAACGTAACGTCTTTAGTTAATGACAATTAAGCTTAATATTTTTAGCTGTAAGTGTTATTTAAATTTGTCGAATCCAAATCGTATTCCGAGAAATTTTTTATGGATAATGTGCTAAATCCTATCTTTTACCATCAGACTATCTTTCATTGCAAGCTTGGCTTCTGCTCTGTAAGCACTAAAAAGACTTTCAAAGACATATTAAATGTTTTATTAATACCTACAGTATAAGAAGAATTAATATATATGTACAGTGAAATCTATGAACGACGGCCATTGAAGGGAACATCAAAAATAATGTTCGGAATGGTGGTTGTTTTGAGGTAGCCATTATTGGTAGTTCGACAGTATCTATATCTTAAAACATCATTAATTTCAGCCAAAATTGCATGTGTTTGAGTTGAAAGAAAGCACGAAAATATGTTAACTTGATAGTCATTAGGAGAAGATGGTGCAAGATGGGGCCATGGGGTAAGACGGTGACGTCTGTTTATTCGTGGTTAACGCGCTTTCATCTAGCTGTTATTTAGGGAACTAAATGTCAACCTCAAAAGTGATGACGGGACGAGAGAACGTCCGAATCGCTCTCTTCGTTTGGAAGTAAGACAGTTTTCGGCAATACTTTATTTAA